TTGTTGGCAAGTGTATCATATGAGGATTAAGGTTGGAATGACAGTGAGGAGTTTTGGATGTCTGGTTGTGATTGAATTCTTGAGTTTTATGATTATTGAGGCTCTTGCTATTCTGTGATCAAATATGTTATGCAGTTTGTCTTTTTTGAGATGAAATGTTTGCCGTATGCTATTTTCTTGTTGCAATTGCAGAAAGATAACTAAACCATTTAAGTTAAGTTGCCTCGGGGATTTTGGCTCTGCTCATTTTTCTGCAAGTATAAATCAACCAAAACTTAAGGCATTTCTAAAAAAAGTGGAATATTTCTGGTTTTATTTTTCTTTTCTTTTCCTTTTTTCTTGTAATTACCCAACATTTCATGGTAGTTTGTGTAATTCTTCCTTAATAACACCTAGCAATTGTAAATTGTGATTGTGGTGCCAACAATATTTTGGCCGTCTTCATATCTGTAAAACAAAAAACTGACAGACAATAGGGTAACATGGTAAGTGGCAAGCATGTCCAAAGTGGAATTGATTAAAAAAATAATAAAAATAAAGGGAAAAGATGAGAAATCAAGACACTAGGGAAAGAGCAACAAATAGCCTTCTCTCTAAAACAAATTTGGATACAAAATCATGATTGCCATTTAAGGATTTCCAAGTCAGCAACTAGTTTTGAGTGCATTCTAAGACCATGTACAATGGTTGTCTTAATAAGCAATTGCTTAGAATATTTTAGTATTATTTTGGTGGGATTTTGTGCCATTAAGCAATTCTATGATTTAAGCAATTCAATCCCACAATGGTGAATTGCTCATTAAGCAACTCATGCGGGTCCCTTTGCAATTTTTTTATTGTGTAAAATTTTTCATTTTAAAAATTATGGAACTCTTTACACCATAAAAATCAGATTCTGATTGCTTGTGGATTGCTTATTCAAGCATTTGCTTAACCTAAGCAATTGCTTGTCTTCTCTTCACAATGGGAAATTGCTTAAATAGCAATTGCTTATTTTTAAGCAATCAGTTAAGCAACCCATTGTAGATGGTCTAAGGAAATAAGTGTAAGTGGAGCTCAAAGAAAAACTTTTTGCAGAGGAAGTAGAATTGCATAATGCTCAAAAAGGTTAATTTTGTTGCTGTTGTTGGTTGTGAGTGTAAAGGTGCGAAAAGGTCCACAAGATTATTGAACTTTTTTATTTGCACCACCAATCATGGTTGAATATGGTGGATAACTTCATTTTATGAATAGTTAAGTGGTATTGGAAAATCTTTCATAATATATTAAATCAAACGAAATAAATATTTTATATTGTGTATGCTTGTGAATCAAATATTTTATATTGTGTATGTTTGTGTAAATTAATGGTTATCTTGAATTAGCAGTTTTGACTAACTGATTAGATTGCAAGGTGTTTGGTAAATAATTAGTTGTTTGATATATAAAAACAACTAATTTTATAATTCTCTAATTTAAAAATCTCATATGCAAGGTGTTTGGTAAATAATTAGTTGTTTGATATGTAAAAATAACTAATTTTGTAACTTTCTATTTTAAAAATCTCATATTTTAATTTTTAAACTTTTTTTAGATTAGTTTTATGGATTCAAAAAATTATTTCAAACTGCTACTTCCTAAACAATTGAATTAGAGATTATGAAGAGTCAAACTTCTAAACTAAAAAACCTTGTCTAAATAATCCTCGTCAAAACAAAAAATAAACAAAAAAAGAAATTGAAACAGAAAAGGAAATAAAAATATATATGAGTTATTTTTTTATTCTTAAGTTTTTAACCAAGGTTTGCATCATTTTGACAGTTGGAGAAGGTAACAAACAATCTATCTAGAAAGTATTTCCACATTATTTCATTTTGACCCTTCTATTTTCATTAAACTACCGGGACAACACCCAGCGGCCAGCTGCGAGACCGTTAAATGGAAATGAATCCTTGAGAATGTCAAAATCGACATGTTCTCAATCATCAATGTCAGCGCAGCTGAAAATTCTCTAGAATCCTTAAAAACATAGTCGTCAAAAATATTTCATACGCGTGGAGAAAAAATAACACAAAATAAAAATAAAATAAAAATAAAAAAATTGGGGTCCGTGAATAAAGAGAGTCATAAAGTTTCGGGAAAATGGTAGGGAGTCGTTACATTGTTGAAAATCTTTGATGAGTTTTCAGGCTTCTGACCTGATCTCTACAGGCATTGGTCTCGAGGTAAAATCTGATACCTTTTTTGGTTTTTTTTTTTCAATTNTGTCAAGCACCACCTGATCTCTGATGTCCATTTTTTTTTTTTTTTTTTTTTGGTTTTTGAAATGGATGTTTGAACATGGCATTTTTGTATATGTAATGATGCTTATGTCTCCATGATCAAGATTGGATTTTTGAGCTACTATGCCCCGTTTAGTGTAACGTTGGCTGACGATTGGGATGCTTGAAGCTTTCTGAAGAAGATTGAATCTTTTAAGGATTGTTGGAAGATTATGCTGAATTTCATAAATATGGTCTTGAAGCTTACTAAAAAAGATTGGATTTTGAGGGATTTTTGGGTGCTCGTTTCTTGAATTTCATAAATGGGGTTTCTTTGGCTTACGATTTTGATAGCTATAAGCTTCTTAAAAAGATGGAATCTTTGAAGGATTATTGGGTGCTTGGTTTCATTTCATAAATGTGGCTTTTCTCGGCATGGGTTGTTGATTTTGTTTATTTTTATTTGTTAGTTTTGAATTTTGACGTGAGATTTTCTTTGGTTTGGCAATTCCGTTGTTTCTTTATATGGGTTGGTGAAAAAAATGATCTTTGTCATGTGAGGCCGGTTAACCTTTCTTTTATTTTTATTTTATTTTTCTTAATTATCTTGTGTTTTTGTTTTCCTGCAGGCTTTTACTGGCATTCCAGAAAGGCCCGCTTGATTCTACCTACTTTTCTTTCCCTTCTTCCAACCTGATTTGTCCTAGATAATTAAGAAGGGAAAGAAACACTGGATTTGGAGGTGCATTTGTGGGGAAGCAGTTAAATTCTTCGAGTTTAGTAATAACAAAAATATGAGCGTTGTTTCTGGTGTGATCTCAAGGCAAGTCTTGCCAGCATGTGGCAGCCTATGTGTCTTTTGTCCTTCCATGCGTGCAAGGTCTAGACAGCCCGTGAAGAGGTACAAGAAGTTGATAGTCGATATTTTCCCCCGATCACAGGTAAGTTTCATGAATCTTATGTTGGAAAAGTTAATGTCTTATTTTGGCACTCCATTGTTTTCCTTACATGCATTCCTGTTGTCACTAGTCATATATCAATTTACAACAACAACAACAAACACAAAAAGACTCGAACCGAAAGGAAGAGATCGAGAAAACAAAAAAAAAAAAAACGAGAGAGAGAGAGAAAGGAGCAAAAGTCACGGTTCTGGCACGTTGATAGCGAGCCTCCAAGCGCTCCTATCCACCACTAAATCCTATCCACCGCTGAAAAAATGGAATACGGATCGTCAATACTTGATTTCTTGAGACTTCTTACATACTTAATTTTCATGCTATCATATGTGTTAAATTATTGTGTAGACGAGAATTTGTGGAGAAACATTTCGAACACAAGTTGTTTTGTTTGTTGCGTTCTGATAATTCATGCATCTTTTTCCTTAACAGGAAGAAGAGCCAAATGATCGAAAAATCGGAAAGCTTTGTGAGTATGCTGCAAAAAATCCTTTGCGCATCCCAAAGGTATTATTTTATAATTTGAGACACAGATATCAACTGAGTTGCTATGAAAAATCCCATCTCAATGGCTTGACAGATCTTTGTTGTTCCACAAATTTTGGATCTGGATGATAGTAAATGTATTTTTAATAAATTTTAGCATTTTACAGTTATATTGCTTGATAATATTATGGCCTTCGATTTATAAGAGTTACTTTTTCCTTTTGGATTTTATTGGTTTCTTAGTTCTAGCTTGACCATGACTCCTTTCTGGTATTTCTTAAAAAAGCGTACTTATATAGGCTTTGGTTTTCTTTGATATTACAGATTGCTAACTCCCTTGAGCAAAGATGCTACAAAGAACTAAGGAATGAAAACTTTCGATCAGTGAAAATTATACTGTGCATTTATAGGAAGTTGTTAGTGTCTTGCAAGGAACAAATGTAAGTTCACTGCTACTTTTCTCTTTTTTCTTTTTTGTTTTTTAATTATATCATTACCAGATAAATTTCTCGATTGTATGCAAAAATTGCTTGAATTTATAGAATATTTCGTGGTTTTATGTACTTGTTACTTGTTAGTGAATCATCTCATTCTAACCTGTTATACTCTTCCATTTTTCTTGACAGGCCTTTGTTTGCAAACAGTGTATTGACCATTATGAATACCTTGTTGGATCAAACAAACAAGGACGAGATGTTAACAATTGGATGTGAATCTCTCTTCGATTTCGTAAATAATCAGGTTGGTTTACTGCCGCTTGAATTTTAGTTTGCCAAAGGCACAATTTCCTCCAGAAGCCTCTGCATTTACGTTCTTGCTGATTGATCGTGTGGAAAATTGAACTGATTCGTTTTTTTTTTTTTTTTTTCTCTAGAACGATGGAACTTACATCTTTAACCTCGAAGGGTTTATTCCAAAGCTCTGCCAGCTGGCTCAAGAAGTTGGAGAAGATGAGCGGGCAGAGACAATAAGGGCAGTTGGACTGCAAGCTCTATCTGCTATGGTGTCATGCTCTCTTTCGAGCTTCTTTTTTCTTGTCCTTCTTTGAAGTCCTATAGTCTTTTAACATAATAATGGCAGCAATAGATTAGTTTTCATTTACATTATGCTGTTAAAGGCATATTACTATTGTGGTAGTGGTACTCATTACTTTTATATTTTCCATGATGGCATATGCTTATATTCCTCTTCTTTAACTCATTTTTACCCTTCTTTTTTTTGTTCATACAGGTTTGGTTCATGGGTGAAAACTCTCATATTTCAGATGAATTTGACAATGTAAGCATGTTTTTCTGAGCTGTGTGAGAGACTCTTTCTCTCTCTCTCTGTAATTACATTTAAGGGGGAAAAAATGGAAGTTATGTTATGTTACATGACATTTCCTCACTT